AAATGACGTCGGTTTTCAATTCCCCTCCGCGAACATGCAATGCTAGCAGTGCAAGACAAGCAGTGCTAGCAAAGGGGGAGGGAGAGAGGGGTAGACAGCTGTCGCCTGTGACGAAAACCTCGGCAGTGGCAGTGGGTCTTTGCCGGTGTTTACGGCAACATGAGAGCCCATCTACACCCGTGAATTTCCTTTCGATTTGGGAAAAATGTTTTTTTTGTATATACTCTAACAAGGGTGAAGTGTTTAGTGTGTTCGAAAGAACTGCAGTATGTTAAAAAGTTCAACCAGCAGAGGCATTACGCATTATGGTTTACGCGCTAGTGTTGTTCACAGATGAACAGATAGACGTTTTGCCAATTTTTTGGGTCCAAGGAACCACAATGTTGATTCTAATTACACTATGTAATAAAGAAAGTAATTTACTGCATATGGGAGCACGAAAAATACATTTTTACGGTATCAGAGAGCCACAAAACAACGTAGCATTACTTAACTTCCTCTGTCCTACGTAAAGTACCTGTACAAACGTACTACGTATACGAGAAAGGCTAACTAAAATTTCAACATTACTGTATTTCAGCGTTTCTATTCTGCCATGCGCTGGCTAATCCAGCTTAATGGCAGGATGTTAGAGGTTGTATAGAACTTACTTCATCAGTGCCGGGACGGTGATTAATTACTAAAATATTCGTAGCTTGCAGGAGTTCAATGGCTTCACTGGCTTAAATGCATCCAAACGAGTAGCAATGCGAACCTTGGAAAAACATTCACCTTGCATTTTAGGTGCAATTCGTATTGTTATTCGTTTTCCCTCGTCACATCTTGCTACTACCGTGTCTGGACACGCTTTCGCCGTCAGGGGTTTTCATTTCCTTGCTGTGAGCGTACATCTTTGGGAACCCACCTGTTTTAAACCCATTTTCAGTGCGTATCGGATATTACAATTTCACGCAGTCTGTATGTATTAACAAAACAAAAAGCGGAATATTTCGACATGACTTCTTGGCTGTCCGGGTGACGTCGCGTTGTTGGCTGAGAGGCCTCAGGGTAGTGACTGCCCTGAGGAAGCCTGCGACATGACAGGCGAAACGTCGGCCTCTCAGCCAACGACGCGGCGTCACCCGGACAGCCAAGAAGTCATGAACTCGAACCGCGGAAGCTTACGTGTTCAAAGATTTCGTCATGCCAAGATAGGTAAGATCAGAACTAACAGACGATTTGACGACTTGCGACCATCGGCTTAAGAGGCACCTTAGAAGAATGAGAAAACTAATGGAAGAGAACGGTTGAGTGTAGTGTCGAGTGAACAAAAATCAAATCGTTAGAATTGCACAAAATACTTAACCGAGACAGAAATGCGAAAATCGTGAAAACAAACCTTAATTCTACAGAATAGTGACATATACTGGTAAATAGAATTTAAGAGAATAGTAGACAGTTATTTGATAGAACACAGTGAAATTACATCTTGACAACTGAACACAGCCAAGAGCTGCTTAAGACCGACCGAACAGACCGGGAGTAACAAGACGACCGAGAGCGGGAGTAACAAAACGAAAACACCGCAGTCAAATACCTTCTCGTCGGCGATGAGGGTGGGAAAGGAACGGAGTCAGGGCAGCGATCAGCGAAGGCGGGCTCTTGCTATCTCTACTGACCACGACGGCCACCAATCATTTGCCCAAGGGAACAGGACTGGCAAGATCCAGTCACTTATGCACCACTTCAAGTGGTATGTGTTGTCCACAACGGGAGTTGAAGTTCAACAGTCACTATACGGTCCGAAAGTTAATCATTACACTCCGATTTAAATGTAATGTTCCTTCAAGGTCACGAGCTGGAAGGAGAGGGAAACATTGTCATCCAAATTCAATACCAAATATTTCGAAGCTCCCAATTGGATGTCAGTGACCCCCTCTCCTTTCAACTCGACACCTTGAAGGGACGTTACATTTAAATCGGAGTATATGTTGTATTCAAGTAACTAGCTTTGTTTTCACCCGATGTTAAGAAACAACTGAACAAAGTAGACTTGAAAGACATTTTAGCTCTGTTACTAAATAAAACGCGAGACCATAACTTAGCCAGGGATTTTGCGGAGAGTTTGAGTAATCTCGGCAGTGCGCATTGATGGTCACGCTCTCCCAACAATTGTCGCAGTAGAAGGTGAACCACGATACGCGACGCCCCGTGCCACAAGTAATAGACATTGGCCCCGCTTCTGACTAGTGATGCGACACCGATAACAAAACATCGGTGTTAGAAAACATCGATGTTGTATATCTCAATATGCGAAGTAAATATGAAGAAAGGGGAAATACAAGGGAATGGAGGTCATCTCAGGCGAGAGTTTGGTCGATGAAGCTAGTGCAAACAGTCCTTTAGTACAACACACGAATAAGTGTTACTATCAGTTATTATTTCATATTTTAACATTTACATTTTTGTGATCGTGGGAATTTTTCATTAAGAACCAAACATCGGAAAAGAAAACATCGATGTTAAAAAAAAACTGAGCGTTAATACATTGATGTTTCTACAAAAACAAAACATCGACATCAACGTCGCATCCCTACTTCCGACATGATCAGCACGTATCTCAGTTCACGTGCCTTGTCAAATCTCGGCGGTTGATTTAGTATAGTTTATGTTCACATTTATTCAACCAAGACGGCAAGACTTTCCAAACCATGATCTAGTGACGAAACATTACGTTGGGGAATTTTCATCATAAAGGTTCGGTACTACTAGTAGATAAACACTGATATTACTAACGGTTTATTAAAATAAAGATTGAGAGCAGCCTGCCTTTAAATTGCACTGAACATCAAATAAGTCAATTTAATTTTATCCTCACGGTTGATTGGCGATTCCGGTCGCGTCAACAGCTAAGGTCATTGTCTCATTAGTCTCGTGAGTGTAGTGCACTTTTATTTCTACGGTAGGTAGCGTTGATCTTCCTTCGTTGGATGGTGGTATCCGGCGCCAGCTAGCGGAGGGGGTCCCGATGTTTTTTACTTCCATATTGTACTTGCACATGCGGCTTAATTTACGAAATTCTAAATTTTTCCCCTTAAACCTCTTTGGTGGACCTCTAGGTAAAAAATCCATATTCAGATGCGCGAATTTACGGGGTTTTGTTTGTGACGTTTTGTAAATGGTACAAAAACATCGACTAAAACAGTTATGGTTTAAAAAAAGGTTTCTGACACTTCTTTACAAAATAGGTAGTTTATAATTTATAGTTACCTTTCAATTAAATGTTAAATTGTAGTAATAAATAAGCATAAATTAGAAAATGTGTTTTTCTCACGTTTTCAAAAAAAATCTGTCATTCTCTTATACCTTACATTATGTGAATCAAACGTCCTTTAGGTATTTGTACTCTCAGTAATTCTAGGAATGTTCAGATTTGTGCACCCTGACTATAACATTTTCAGCGTGTCAGGTACTTGTCAATTTAACATGACACCTGGACAACCTGCATTCATAATTTCTACCCATGTTTTAAATATTTCAAAGTTTTCTCTTTTCCAAATATTGATGCAGATGACAATCAATTCTATCGTTTGACTTGGAACTAAGGATATTAAATGGGATTTTTGTCCAATACAAAGACTTTTGGGATATTTGAACCATCTACTTTATTACAGTATTTTTTTAACTCATGGAACAAAATTCTAACATAAACAGAATGCGGACAGTTTATACACAATTCTCTCACAATCTGAACATTTACAATATTTTTCACATTTAACAAAGACAAGGGAGAGTGTTGCACACTATATTCAACACTATTATATAACAACACTTTCAAACGATTGAAACATAGAATTAATACCTTTTTTACAATAAATTTGCTCTTTCCCAATTAGGGAGACTAAAATTCTAAGTACAAGAGCACCATGACTGATCTATCACGTTCACATTTCACAGCCAATATGAAGCGTATAAAATAGTTTTTAACAAGGAACTATACCCAGAAAATCATATGAAAGAATAAGGAAATAATATATGGTATGTTTGTAGTGTGAGTCACGTACAATTTTTTAAGATATATACTTATTAAGATGAACCACTTTTCTCTATAAATTTGGGAATTTTTTTCTTTTTATAATCAAATCCAATGAATCTTCTTTACGGGTATTCAAAACAAAGAGTCTATTTCATATACTATCTCTAATGAATGAGCAAAGTAGTAGTTTTTTTTAAAAATAGTGAATATATCAAAAATATTGACATATGTCTTTAATTATAAAAATAAATTGTAAATAATAGAAAATATACAAAAATGTACATTACAGTATATCTGCCAGAAAAGTTAAAATCTACTCTTAAATTATTAAATTTCAAAACCGACTTTAAAATTTTTAGAATTTGTATACTGAGCTGTTTGTGTATTTTCCTCCAAACTGTATTTATCCTTTCGTTTTACAGTTACCCTTTGAAAGGAAAAAATATCATGATAAAAAATGCAATCATGTTGTCTTGGTGATCATGTATGAATTAATCTTCATAGTCATAATTCCAGTAAACTAGGTCTACACATTTCAATACTAATAGCTGTGTACTACGAATATGAATTGTATCTACAAAAGCCAGCTCTACACTATATATCTCATTGTGTAAAATGAGGCATTTTGAAAATGAATATTTTTTGCATGAGTCCTCGTCAATCTACACATGTTTCTAGAGTTATTTTGTAACACGTCATGATAATATTAAGAAAATAGTGTATCCTATTGAACAACAGAAGGAAACGTTTTTTTGAAAGGTTTTCTCCATAATATTCATAATAAATGTAATGCCCCTTTTTACATTAAATACATGCGTGCTTGGAAATTCTGATACCATCACAACAGTATTGCACTTTACCCAAATACACTGTTTAATGCGTTTATAGACACAAAATGCACATTAACTAAGAACTTAGGATGAATCAACAAGAAAAAGTTTAATGCAATTTTTTAAAAAAATGGCACTACAGACTAGATAACCTTAAAAATTAACATACTTATCTACACTCAAGGGAAACATATTTACAACTGCCAACCCGTATAATCCCCCCATTTACATTCACTGGCAGATGTCCTACATCATATTTTGCACATTTTCTGTTATCTCGATCATTCGTTCCTCTGCTGAATCTTCATCCAAATCCATGTCCACTACTAGATTTGAGGACGTAAGAAATTCGCCTTCATCAGAATGATAGGACTCCACAGGATTCTGAAAATTTTAAATTTGTTTTAATTCGAAGACCAAAAATCGTGTGTAATAACCCATTGGTAATTGCATCAATATTTAACTCACAAGGTGAGGTCTTTGGGAACCCCTAACCCTTTTTCCTTATAACTGAAGAAAAGGTCCATTCATTACGTAACACAAATTTGGATTATTATGAATGACCCATCTCTCCCTGTAATGCGCACTTCATCCCCCTTCAATTACACAACACTTCACACACACACACACACACACACACACACACACACACCTTGTCAATGAGTTAGTATTATTTGTATTTTTATATATTAAATTTATGAATGATATTTACTGAAAGAAATATTTAATTAACTAAGCTGACTGCACCTAACAATATAGTTGGGACAATTTTTGAGAGAAAGAAGGGCGATTGGGCGAGAAAATTTCTGAAAATGCCGTCATGGGTGAAACATGGGAGAGACTACTGCGCCAATTTAATTTAGATTTATTTAGTCAAAAAACAGTAAAAACTGTGTGAAGTATGGGAAAGATGATAATCTGAACGCGTTTTCTTGAGTTCCAGAATATTTTCTCATCATTTTAATTATAAATAGTTGAAAGATTAGTTAAAGTTAAATATAAATAAATTTTGTTTTAAAAGTGCGAGATTAGCGACATTTGAAATGCTAGACATTTTCGTTCCCGAGTTTTAGAAAACTTATTTGCAACGGTAAACGAACTGCAGATTTTATTTTCTGTAATGCTAACAAAATAGTAACTCGCTCTTAGCTCTACTCCTGCCACTACAAGCAAAAGGAGAGTTTAACAAAACGTGCGCATAGTGAAGCTACATTATAATTGGGTTCAAGAATATACTATAAGTCAGTTTTGAATATTTTCTTCGTAATCTAAAAGATTCAGTCAGTAAACCATTGATGAAAAAATATTTATATCCCGTAGTAATTTATACAGAATGTCCCGCCTCCGTTCCAACTAACTAACTAAACGGTTCATGATAACGGAATGCGGTTAGTAGAGAAATTGTCTATAATATTAGTTTTCTTCTTCTTGCCATTTTCTTAACAGCTACTTCGGTCTTCCGGCGCCTAATCTTCTTCTCCAGTCTTCCCTGTTCTTCCAGGAATCAGGAGGTAATTTCCACTTCTCGATATTCTCAGTCTGCCTCGTTTTCTCCATTCACTTGATTGCAATTCTAAGGATCTTCTCTCGTCCATTCGCTGTACTTGTCCAAACTAAAAGAGTTGTTTCTCTTCAATTTCCTCTATAATATCATGTTGCGGATTCATTATTTCCTTTACCTGTTCATTCCTAATTCCTTCCCTTCTAGATATTGCTGCATCTCTTGTGAGGAAATCCATTTCCAGGACTCTCAATTTTGATTTCTGTTATTCTGGAAGCTGCCATATTTCTGCTTTCCATACAATGTAACACTTTCAGTCATACATTTATATTATATACAATATTAGTTTTCGAGAAATTGAATCATCTTTGCTTTTTTTAACTGGAACTGTATATTTTTCACCAGCAATGAATAGATGATGAAAGGAGGAATAAAATGATGTGTCGTAAGTTAATCTTTGGTAGAAATTTGAGTTTAAAATTAGTCCTTCTGAGTGATTTTGAATTAAACGGACAATATTTCTTGTATCAGCTCTCACCTTCGGGGAAGATGGCTTTCGCGGCTTCAAGACTTTTGCAAGAAGAGGTGAGTCTGAGAGGAGTGGTAGTGAGGGATGAGAGGCATAACTGCAGCAATCCACAATCTTGACACTGAAGATACGACACAAATCTTAGTGTCGTATTTGCCGCCAATTTTAACGAGCAGAATGAGGGATTTTTTCCATTGATTCATCTGGATTTAACTTTTCTACTGAAATTTAAAAACATCGACCATTCCAAAGAACGAAACAAAAATTGGTACTGTAAGGACGATGCCAATAACAAATATAATTTTCAAAGTTGACAAGAATCCAAATACCGTCTCTTCGTTGGTAAATTTCATTTCAAATCAGCGAGATCACTCGTCCACTTCGCAAGCATACACTTATAGAACTGTAATGCGCATAAATTTTTATTACTTTGTTCTTTTGGTACGTGTTTAAATAGAATGATTATTAACAGTAAATAAGAAGAGAAAATGTCTAGCTGTCTATTATTTGATGAATTAATCGAGATATTACAATGAAAATCTTTACGTATTTATTCCCTTCCCATGTTTTGAAATGATGGCTTGTTTAAGCCATAACACACTGAGAACGATTCATGTCAGTTTGAAACTTTGGAATTAAAGTTACTTTGGAATTTCAGTAGAAGTCCAATCCAGATGAGAAAAAGGGAAAAAACTCTCATTATGATCGTTAATATTCATGTTTGTCTTCGTGACAAGCCCATGAATTGCTGTAGTTACGTCTCTATCCTTCACGGCCACCCCTCTCACTCTCCTCTCTACCCGAAACAGTCTCGAAGCCGCGAAGGCCACCTTACCCAACGGCGACTGTTGTAAAGGTTGCTACAGGGAATATTGTCCGTTTACTTAAAAACCACATGTCAGAAAGTGTAATTTTATACTCAGATTACAGTCAAAATACGCATGATACATTTTATTCCTCTTTTCGTGATCTATCCATTGCTGGCGAAAAATGTATAGTTTCAATTAAAAAATCAAAATTGATTGAATTTCTCTAAAAATTAAAAATATTACAGACAATTTCTCTACAGTATGTTACTTGCCCCAGGATTCAACAATGTTAAGCGAAAACTCAATTTCGATTTTCTGAACCGTTTAGAAGTCATGGGAGTGGTCCGTTGTTGGCGGGACATCTATATATCTTTTTGATTTATTTATACTTTTAATTTATTTTGATATCAGTGTAGTGTTTCAGTATGAGACCGAATAGTACAAATTATTTCAACAAATGTAAAATTAAAAAAAAAAAATCGCCTAATCGCTTCATGAAAACTGCAGGATTTTCCCACGCGTCTTTTGTGGTCACATTACTTCGAATAATGTGATTCAGAGTTGCTTTTCTCACAGGGAGATTACTTTTCTTTAGGTTACAGCAGATTGTTTTAATAAATTTCTCTTTGTGAAACAACAACGCGTTTGTTTCTTCAGATTCACAGCATGCTTATGGTTTGCTAACTCGTGCTTCCCTTCTAGGGATCTGTTAACGATTCACGGAGCACGACGCGAGCGCGAATCCGATCTGGTCGTGCGCTAACTCCTTCGTCGGAAGACCCTGCTGAAAATGAGAATTGTATCTTCAAGGCTGTTTTGCTTCGATGAGGGTAGAGAGTCAGTTTCCCGACCAAGAGAATGAATGAGAAGTCAAGTGTATGTTTTGATATTAGCCAAGAAGCAAATGATACTTTGCTTAAATTGAATTTTGTCATTGATGGTATTTGAAAATGTTAAGAACAAACTTAATTTCATAGCAATTAGTGCAAATGAATTTGATTTACGCTTCCAGTAACACAATTGCAGTGACCTCAATAAACGGCTAATTTTGCCAGAACCATTGGTGACCGCGTCACGCTAGGTTCGCTGTCCTCATATGTGCCATTGCCCTCCCTAAAAAACCGGAAGAAAGTTCTCGAAAATGTGTAGAAAATTGTAATATGGTGCTACAGAGGCGTGTTTTGGATCATTTGTCTTGCCTTAGCTAATATCAAAACACACCCTTGACTTGTCATTCATTCTCTTAGTCCAGAAACTCACTTTCCGACCGCGTCGTATTAACAAGCAAACTAGATTTGACAATGATATCGCATCCTGTAGAAAGGGCAGGGCCGTCTGACAAGGAGTTAGCACGAACGTCGTTTAGTTCGGACTCGCACAGGCGGCGTTCCGTGGTAGATTCTCACTCAAGGGATGCACGAGTTAGCAAACCATAGGAATGCTGAGAAATGAAAGAAACTACGTTGTTTCATTAAGAGAAATTTACTGACTTAAGTCAATACAAATCACCTCTTTTGCGTTTTTTGTTTTAATACAGTTCAGATTCGCTTGAGATGACCGCTTAATAATGGTCAATCTGCGACTAGTGCCTGGCCGCTTAATTAGGTGACCGCTGAAAAGAACAAATATTTAGATGTTTTATGGAAAAAATTAATCGATTCCACGAATAATCGAGTTAGCCGTTTTACTAGTTTCACTGCATGTAAACGAATCTTTCAAGAATATTGCAAATTATTACGGAGCCGCCGTGAGCCCTCCGCCCCCCTCGCGCACCCCGCTTTCGCGTTCTGCGCATTCCGGAATTGCATTGGGATGCGACTGTTACGAAAGAGCACTTACGTTTAAAGAACTGCCAGGCGCAGACAGGAGAGACCTAGGGGGCAGAGGTATCGACAATCCATTGCAGAGAGGTGGAGGTGGTGCATCTGGCAGAGGTATGTCTGCAACATTCTCAGGAAAAAAACCCACAGATGCGAAAGTCCGTTGAGGTTGTGGTGATACTGACTCTACTTTCTTCAGTACGCGTGATTCTCCAGATGGAAGAGGTATAAATGGTAACTCTAGTGAAGTCGGCCACGGTGCGGGAACTGGAAACGCACGCAACTGCTCATTGCTGTGAGGCATCGTCGTTGGACGAGGTACAGCCGGAGGCGGAGGAGAAATGATGATCACAGAGGATGAAGAACTGTCTTCGCCAGTGAAAACGTCAGCAGGCAGTGGTGGCATCGAGGCAAATGTGTCCTGCGCATCGACCTCTGAAGGACAGACAGGTACAATCTGGTTCCGATCCAGTGCATTTTGGGAATGTAATGAAGAAGAAATGGAGTCAGGAATGGATACCGGTGACTGAGGGGGAGGCACCACCGCTGGGGGCGAGTGCAGCAAAGTGGGCCACACGGAGAGCGGGAAGGGAGACACAGCAGGCGGGGAGACAGACGGGTCAGGCGACTTCTCTTTCTTCGGGACCATCATGCTGAGCAGCAACAGAGGCACGATGGGCACCGACTGCTTCACCGGGGACGTCGGTGGCGGCGGGGGCGTGGCTTTGCGTGTCCCTGCGGGAAGCGGTGGCGGTTGCGCCGGCGGCGGCGGCGGCGGTGGCGGCGGAGGACTCCTCGGCCGCGAGTGCTTCTCCATCACTTGCCGACACGACTCGCATCTGTCGCAGCAGTCGCCCACTTCGTCGCAGGCGCAGCAGTTGCGGCACGTGCAGCAGCGGCAGCACTCGCAGCAGTGCGCGTCGGCGGGCGCTTCGAGGCGCGGGGGCGCCGTGGGCGGGCGCCGCGGCGAAGGCGAGGTTGAGGGCAGCGGCGCCAGCGGCAGCGGCGCCGGCGGCAGGCGCCAGCAGGCGGCGCGGCCTTAAACTCACCTCGTGAGCGCGCAGCCGCCCTCGGCCAGGTTGAACTCGCGCACGCGGAACGACTGCGCGCGCATGGCGCCGCCCTCCTCCTGCCGCGCGCGGCACCACGTGCTCCAGAAGCGTAGCACACGCCGATGCCGGCTCCACGGCGTTCGTCGCGCCAGCTGTTGGGTGCGCCTACACCACCCGCCGTTGATGAACGGCCGGTGGCCGCGCTTGTCGTGCAGGCTCCTCGTCCGCGAATGGGCACCGTAGCGCGGGGGCGTGCGCTCGCCCCCCGCCCGCCGTGGGCACGGGCTCGTCGCGTGACAGGGGCGGCGGAAGGGGCGCGCGGGAAGGCGGGGGCGGCGCCGCGCCGCGCGGCGGCGCGGGTCGCTGGCGCCAAGGCGGGCGCGCGAGCGCGCTACCATGGCCGCCGCAGCCGCCGTGCCGGGTCGTTCGCTCGCGCGGGTCGCGGGCTCCTGCGCGTCGCCGCCGCCGCCACCGCCCGCTCCTGGCGCTGCTGAGGGACCGCGCCCGGGCTGCTACGGGCTGGTTGTCAGGTGGCGGCGCCTGCGCGCGCTTCATGGCGGCGGAGGGTGCGTAATCCTCGCATATGAGGAAGTTCAGCAAGTTGTAGGGCAACGCCGCTTGTCCAGGGCGAGCGAAGGCGCGGAATCGCGTCGGGAAGTCATCGGAGGAGGACGGGCGAGTGGCGCGTTTTGGAACGGAGGAGTCGGGTGTGCCGCGCGGGCGCGCGTTGCAGGTGTGCGTGGGCGCTGCGCGGAGCGGCCGCGAGGCGAGCTGCCGGTTGAGCGTGCGTGGGCGCGACGGAGAACTTGGGGGGCCGGAGGCGATGGGGCGCAAAGGAGCTGAGGCGGCGCGACGCCCGCGCGTGCGGGGTGGCGGCGCGCCAGGCCGGACGGGCGCCAGCGGCGGCGCGGGGGGTGGCGGGGCGCGCGGGGCCGGCGCGCGGCCGCGCGGCCCGCCTGGCCGCCGAGCGCGGGCGGGCGCCGGGCCGCGAGACGACCGAGCGGAGGCGGTCCGCGCCGGCGGGGCGCCGCGCGGCGGAGGCTGCGCGTGGGCGCTGAGATGAAGAGGAGGTGGAGGAGGAGTTGGCGGGCGCGCGGCGCGCGCGGCCCGGCGCCGCGTGGCTCGTCCGCTCCTGCTGCTGCTGCTGCTCCTGCTGTTTGGTGCGCTGGCAGCCCACGCACGTGCGCACGCGCCAGTCGTGCTCCTCTAGATCACGTACGCCCTGCACACAACAACACATGCTCACGTCGCTATTTCGCTCGTTCCGGGACACTTCGTTCTACTTACGACTTGCAACGCACGCACGGGACGACTACTGAATTTATGCTGGAATAATGCGTTCATATTACATACTATAACTTTGCAGTTTTAATAGCTTTATATATATTCGGTATTTTGGTAAGATGGACAACAAATGTCGAACAACAGGGCAGATAGTTCGGAGTATTCGTACAAAACCGGAATTCGTTTTTCACAGATTTCACAACAAAACTATATAAACATAGAATTTATTGATCATAGAACACATTTTTTATTAAAAATAGAAAAAAAAATACTAACAGGAACAAAGATTTGTTAGACGCGGAAGACACGAGACTCACAGGCAGTTTTTGTGAAGCATACTCCAATACATGGTAGAGAAGGCTGGAATCTTGATGGCGACTGAAAATCCCAGATTTGTGCGAGACAAACCTTGTCACGTTGTTTGGCAAACTCTTCAATATAAGATTTTGAACAAAAAAGGAATATTCCATTTTGGTAAACCATGGCAATTGACCTTTCTAACCATTGCTAACTGAAGATATATTGGAAAGAAAATTGATGGGAACGTTTCCTAGTGTTATGAAATGCAAACTTTTCATATTGTAATGAACTCTAAAAGTGTTGATGATAACTATTTATTCTATTGAAAAGATTAGACTAGTCTGCTGCCTTTCTGCATTATGCCAATACTAAAATGATTGACGTATTACCAAAATTATTTTATGTTTATTTTTTTCTACATACATCTGAGCACTGAGTACTCCAGGGTAGCTTATAAATTATAGACATTTTTTGAAAAATGTCACAATTACCGTCAAAATTTTTGAACTACTAAATCTTTTAGAAAAAAATCTTTCATGACATTAAAAGCTCTGAAGTTGAGAGATAAAAACGGGTTGAGAAAGACATCTCTGGTTTTAATATTGGAAGTGTGGGAACATTCGGAAACAGCATCAATAATTATTACTTTGACAAATGGTACAAATATGAATACATTTGACTGATACAGTATTCGCAGTAAATTATACAGAAAAGAGCAACGCATTGTTGCCAGCGCACCGTTGTCAAAATTATGAGCATTCGCTTGGTTAATAACATTAATACAGTAATTAGAATATATGCAATTGACATCAAAATAATTACGAAAATTCTGGCGGTTCACTCATGAGTTGCGTTTATTCGTAATATAACAGTTCCCAGGGCATTTCATCGTTTTTCTTGTATTCAATACGCACTAATTTTTTGTTTACGGATCGGATGATATTAATAATGTATAACATATCTTTGCGAGAATTTTGAGGAGAAATTTATAACAAACTGCTGCGAAATTCATCGCAATCAGAAGTACTGGCAATCAATAGTCTAGGAGTAATACCACCTCCAGCTGGACTTAACAACAATATGACCAGCACCATATTTTATATCGTCTCTTATTACGTAAGTGAAGAAAATGTAAAGAAAAAAGGAGCGGTTTTTAGGAAAGAAAACTTCGTACATTTCAATCGAAAATAACGGAAAAACTACTCGTTAAAAAAAAAAAAAGACATGACCTTTTTTAAAGAGCCAATTTTGTACAACAGACTTGTCTGAAACAAACATCTCTATCTCCAATTTTGAAGTTTAAAAAAATATTTATCCAATTTTCGATAAATCGGGAATGTCCAAGAAAATGAGGCCTGCGCCATTCTCTTAAACGTCCTTTTGCACTATTCAACAACGATTTTTAATCAAAACATACGGAGCCATTTTTTGAAAACTTTGAAAATGTCCCACGGGCTTCATATAAAGTACCTCCCCCTCCCAAATTTAAAATATCGGTTTGAGAGCCGAGAGTCAGCTAGAATGATTGGTGAATATCAATTTTGGAGAAAATCGGTTGAACGGTTTATGCGCTAGAGGACGGGCTGGGCAGACACTGTATCTCCTCGCTACCCTCACCGTTAAAATTATCATTGAGAGAGCATTAGAACTTAATAATCCAATAGACCTTACTTCTGACGTGTGTGCTAAGTTACAGATGATATAAATATCATTACTCGTGTACACGTAAAGTGCAAATGAAAATTCGAGATCTTATTGTTGAATAATTTCAATACTTTTCCTTCCACGACCAATGGAGACATGTTTTAAAGCTCGCATCGCTCTATCTGAGAAAAACATTGAACAAAACTAGTGGGGCTATAGAATGTCACATACTTTCCTGTATTATTTTTCTATTTTCTTTGGTCTCGGCGACTTGCAACATACTCTTGCCAGCTGCCATCTATCGCCGCAAAAAATACATTTCTTTGAAAGTATCTTCATTTTTCGGTTTCCTAATAATAGAACGGAAATATTATCTTAAGAATATTAAAGAACAGTAAAACCTCCTCCTTCTTCTTCAAAACATTTGGAGCCGTTTTTAAGAAAATGGCGCTTAAGGTTTACTGTACATTTGAAATTTGAAACTCTCTTTCATAGAAAATTTTAAGTTTTCGAAAACTTTCACTTATAAAATAGTGTTTCCAAATTGCTGGAACTTAGCATATTAACTGCGTGAGAGATCTTTCAAAGAAATTACATTTCGGTCATTTTCGAAAAACCAAAAAATACGAAAATTAACTTTCCGTCGATTTAAAGACTGCAATTAGCACTCTCCCTTCGAAAATTTTAAAGGAAAAATTTTGAGCCGTTTTTCGGAATATGGCGGTTGAGTGTTTCTGAAAGTGAGGATTTTTGAGCTAGTTTTCACAGATAACAGTTGAGTTTTCGAGAAAGTTTGTGAAACTATTTAAAGCGCACGTACTCATAAATATAATAATGTGAACAAATTGCCGCTACTGTAAGTATCAAACGTGAGAGAAGTTATAAAAAATTACATTTTCGTAATTCTTGAAAAAACAAAAAGCTTGCACGAGTAATTTATGTGGGCTTCGAACAATAAAACGAGTCTCTATCTACTGGAAGTGTCATTTAAATCAACATAAAAAACAGAAGAATGTCACTGAATTCTAACTGAAAGCTCCATGTTATTAGGTTGCAACATATTTTTATCGGATTTTAGGAACTTGTTCGTACTGATACTCTTCTTATTTGCTTATTATGTTTATACTGTTTGTTATAGTGTTTATTGTATTTTAAGAAACTATTCATTTTTTATTTCTCCTTGACGTATTTTGTTTATAAAAATAGAATGGAGAAGTCATATTGTTTGTGCTTGCAATTGAAAAACATTCAGAATTAAATGACCCATTTTTTTTTCGGTAAGTTGTTTTAAGAAATAGCTTATCATTGATTAGTTAGAGAATTAATCTTTAGCACCACGGCGACGGATATTCTTAGCATTTAAGGAGGGTGGGTCAAATTGTGAAAAGGCTTAGAAATGAAAATCTGTAAACGTAAGATTTACGTTCATGGTTTTGAAAGGTAGGTACTTCGTAATATAGAGCAAACATTTTTTAAAATAACAAAATGATGAGAAAGTATCTTCTAATAAGTGTTATATCGTTAAAAAATGATCGAA